ATAAAATTTTAAAACTAGCTTTGAGGAAGCATGAAACATATTTGTTTCGCACTCTACTATTTTTGTGGCTGTGCAAAAAAGAATATGCAAATTCTACAAGTCCTCTGCTCTAGTTATTATCTTGTAGGAACTAACAAACGTACCTGGTCTTAACCGTGGAGGAACTTACATATGTCCGAATCGCACGACAAAAATTTGACTTCATGCCACAGAAGGGCATCTGCCGACCATCATCGAGTTCCTGGGCGTTACTTAAGTCCAAATTTTGGGGTAGCAAAGTTTATTTTTAGAAAGTTAAAATTTTCTAAAATGTCTTTCAATACATTATCGAATGAATCTCCATCAGCTAAGTTATGTTTTCAAAAAATTCCACCAGATAGGACTCCTAATGATGGCGTCTAGTTCCCTATGCTATTTATTTCTCTATTTAGCAGAGCCCCACAGACATTCGATATGATGAATATGGACCCCAGTAACTGGGTCAACAAAGTTATTAGTGTGATTAACAGTACTGTGCAGTGGATATTTTAACTAACATACTGGGCGACATTAATGTCGCCCAGTGAACATTTTTTGTCGCCTAGTAGACTGTAATATTAATAACTGGACGATAACAATTTTTTGGTAGAAATATAAAAAAAACGATAACACATCAAGTAATAGTTAGAAATTTGGAATAATTATATTTATGTGTAATGCTATAAATTGCCAACATCACTATAAGTTGCCCATATACTGTCGAATATACACACCAGCGATCGGCTTCATTATCTATTTTCATTTATATTGTTTTGTGGGTATTGGACGACGTTATCACGGCGCCGTATCGCAGCTGTATGAAGCAATTTTTATTTTTTTAGTTTTTGTTACACATAATATAGATTCGTGGGTAATCAAATCAGCTATTCAAAAAAATATTTTATTAAATGATAAAACAGACACTGTACCAATTAATTTTCAAAACATATCAAACTATTGCTTCTATAAAAATAAATCAAATAATTCTTCCGTCTTATCCTCAAGTAGCTAGTAGATTTTTTAGAAGTCAATGGTTTAAATTATTTGATTGACTTGAATATTGTCCAGAAAAAAACGTCGCATTTTGTTTTCCATGCAGAATTTTTGGTAATAAAGAGACTAAAGAAATAACATTTTCTGTGATAAGATATTCAAACTGAAAAAAAAACATTAAATAAGGATAAGGAGTTTTATAAACACCAATCTTCTTCATCACACTATATTTGTGTAACAAAATTATTTGACAAACATAAAATGTTGTCAGCCGCCTTCTTAGTACAACAGTCTTTTACTAATTTATGTACCTGATTTCGCTGCGACAGATCTTGCGATCTATGCAGTTTTCTGCCGCAAATTGCGCAGATGATAAACAGGACCAGGATAACCAACTTATAAATATAGAATAATTTTGACACTAAATTTTACAAATTAATAATATATTATACAAAAAAAAATATAAATCAAACCAGTTGACAACTGACGTCACCACACTCCCCAGAACACCGTCACCCAGCACTTCTTGGTTGATCCGCCGCACCACAATAACAACCTCCGTACGACAACGGGAGCTTGGCAAGGAATACAGCCAAATCTTTTACTCTGACAATGTGATGACCAGGGAACGGACTTTGATGCAAAATACATTTTTTAGTGGGTAGAATAGGGCAATGCTTTCTAAGTGTATAATTTGATATATACATCAGAGAATTTAATAATGAAACTTTTATTTTGCATTTTTTAAACTTTTTCAGTTTTTAAAGCATTTTGACATTTTTAGAGCATTTTTCCATTTTTAGGTCATTTTTCATATATATTTGTTGCTTGGTATTATTAAATTTTAGTTATTTTTACGAAGATCGGCTGATTGTATCTATCTATACGGCTATACGCAATTCCCATCAAATAATCTCGATAACGTTACGATACGCAATATAAATCTAATTGGTGTCCGATTATTAGTAGGTACTCATAGAATCGTTAATCGTTAGTCGTGTTCGCTATCGTAATTCGAATAAGTGTGAAAGATGCCGAAAATTAAGCCGTCCGACCGTTGTCGTTTGCGTGCGTATGTACAAGAATTCAGTGAAAACAATAATTATTAATTAACATAAAACATTTTTCAGGCTAAATAAGAAGATAAGCGAGAAGACAAAAAAGTTTTTTTTTTATTGTATTATTGTATATATTTAAATATTTTTTTTATAAGATAATTTTTTTATAATGATGAATTTTTTATAAATATTAAATTTTAATAATATTATACACACACAAAACTGTTCAAAATTTTGTTTTTATCGAATTTAATAACATTTTTAATGTTTTTAGTGCATTTTTTTGATATTAAAGCATAAGGTCGTATTTTTTAAGGACATTTTTCTTATTTTTTAAGACATTAAAGTCCATTCCCTGGTGATGACTGTACGCAGCCCAAACCAACGTTATACTGGGAGGAAAGTTGCATCTGGTTGATCCGCACTACGTCCCAAACGTGCAACGATTGACGACACCCACATGGTTTGTCCGACACACCGGGAATATCCGCCGTCGGGCGATAAAACGACTGATCCGAAGGAAGATTACGCACGTAAGCAAAGCATGGCATAGATTACGTAAAGCGGAAAATAAGACACAAACTCGTGAAAAGTCGTATTGCAAAACGTGATATACACCTGGGGCCGAATGGTCGTTGACGATTGACAGCCGCAACAGCCGACCCAAACACAGGTGTAAGATCGACAGACGCCGTGGCGACACGCAGTCTCGCCAGCCGTCACAAGAACTGCGATCGGGGGGCGGGCAGCTTCTAGATAATTCTACGCCCGAAGCGCCATCGTGGAGACTGGTTGCCGCACTTTAATAGGCGCGAAAAAACTGGTGTCGCACGCGAACAGTACCAATTGAGTAAGCTTCTTCCTGGACGAGAAAAAATTATCACGTTTGATAGTCATATCACATATTACCCACACTTTACAGATGCTATTTTATAGGCATACATTTGGTCAACTTGTTACCGAAGTAATTTACTATACTTAGTACTCCCTACAATCCAGACGAATAGGTACAATGAAATTAACTTCTTGTGTATATGTTAGATATGAATCCCCTCCCTCTCACATACTAAGACTTCATTTTGGTATTTCTCAGCCCCAACGTTTACTATTAATCATCACGAAGTCCTAAAAACTTTTTTGTATTGAAAATAATATTTGGTAAAACTCGTAATTTAACCTTTTCGGAGAATGCGACCGAACCTTATAATGTATACAGCATACCCGTTATATACATATGCGAACGAGGTGCGGCGTGGCGGCAACGTCGATATCTATTACTCAGTTAAAACCGTTCGAGCCACACATAAATAACACATATCCTGCGATATTTCGTAAGCAGTACATAACAATAAGGCTATAATTACAGTTCGACGGAAAATGATTAGTTACATCAGTATGATCAATTGTTAAGACGGACGGTGAATGGTTCACGTGCACTCCGCATCGCTGTCTGTCAATAGAAAACAAAAACCGACGTACGAGATGGGTGTTTTATTTTTCCGAAAACCTTTTCGTATTCAGTTAAAAATGAGTAACACACATCGTTGTACACACCCAAGTCAACTAAGCTCGGTGGTAAGCCGTGCGCAGCAGTCTTCTCAAGGAATTCGGCGCTGCCGGGCATTATCTGATTTTCGAGGTCTCATGAAGCATGATCGTAGTGATGCGAGTGTCCTTCAACAAGATTCAAGGGACGATTGTACTTATGCTCTTCTCCCCCTTCCACCCGACACGGTCCCGACATATTGACGAAAAGCGGTGAGAAGCGCACACTTCTGGAGTTGTCGAAACACGCGTGCGGAAAAACGGACGAAATAATTGTGCCAATTAGCCGAAGTCCTCGACCCGGGGTCTAGAATTTTCAATTTAGTCTACGACGTTCTCCGCAGTTAAGGAAAAGTATGTACGTAAATCCCGAAAAAGTAACCACGTGCATCGTAGAAACTACATGAATTATTCTGTGTACGGTTACCCGCCCAAATTCTACGGTACGTTTTGTTCGCGTAAGTAACCGCTTTAGTAACTCCGTCTGTTCAGCGAATGAGATTTTATTGCGCCCTTTAAAATTTCGAAGTTCACACTGTCATACACTTTTTATGCTTCGTCGAGTGTCTCGTAATACACTAGATTCTAACCCTCGAGTTTCAACCAGTCAATGGTGTATGATCGCAACCGGATGGTGGGTAATATAATCGGTTACAGAATAATTATGTTTATATTCGTGTTGCTTTACAGCCAACGGTAGTGAATAAGGATACACAGCGATAACAATGTCACGCATTACGTATGGCGTTCGTACGACGCGAATACACCACGTACAGACACGATAACCGCCGAGTCGATGAACACACTTCCGACATACTTCGTACACGCATACTTCGCGTCACGCGTGCAGGACCGTCGGAAGACGTGCGTGCCCCCCTCCCCCCGGGGGGATATACCTGTTCGAGGTCACGTCTGCGCGAGTTGTTTTTGTTTTCGGCACCATGTCCTACCCACCTCTCACTGCATCCCATGATGGAGTGACGGGAGGGTGGGATTCGGATGAGACTGGAGCGGTGGTAATCTTTGAGGGCCGTTTCGGCGGCGCCGACGACGATGATGATGATGTCACGGTCGAGCGACTGCGAAGCACCGGTGTCGGCAGATGGCGCAGGACGCGGTTCGACCGTCGCTCCGCATGCGACCGACGACAACAGCAGCCAGTGTGTGTACAAACAAATCGCTGCGCGGTAACCGCTTCTCCCGAAGCAACACACACACACACACACGAGTCTCCGCGTTCCTTGAGCCGAGCGGTGGGAGCGACGCCGCGCAAGCGATACGCGCCGCTGTTATTTGGCGTCTGTTGTCGCACGCCCGTCATTCCGCGCCCGTACGTCTGCTCTCGCCCACCGTGTCACTCCGTCCGCAACACGACGATTGTTCGGTACCGGTATTCAGAGAACGTCGCGCCGCAAACCGGTCCGATTAGGCGGGCCATTCCGAACGCATTTGTTGCAGCGACAAGAACACGTATCGCGTAAGTGTTTGCACCGTTTTCTACGCAACTTCGGACCATTGCCGCCACCGTGGGTGTTCCCCGTACCGGATGTTCAGCCCATTCTTTTTCGTGCGTAACGGGTTCGAAACCGTGGCACCCGTTTGACGGCGCGAGATTTTGATGACAGATCGGCGTGGGGACATCGGTCAGGCGGTGGCGGTCCTCCCTTCGACTGCGGTCTCGCGCCATTGATCGGATACTGGCGCCGATCCGCACAGTAGTACCGTCATCCTCCCCCCTGTGTCGCCAACACAACGCCTGGGCTGTTGCGCGTAAATCCTTACGCGACCTTAGATCTAATAAAACACGGTTATATTTTTTTTTACCCGACTCGCGTTCCCCCCCTCCTTTCCGTTCCATATCGTTCGATTCGTTCACTCGTCGGCCGTACGATCGTTGTTATTCGAACGGTCAAACACGCACTTTCTACTGGACTTTCTATTTCTGTACGTGTTGGTTTTTTTTCCTTTCGCTCTCGCGGGCCCAAAGTCATTCTGGGACCACGGTTCAAAACCGGTCGCAACCGTTGCAAAATATCGATTTCCCCGCGGGTCGCTCTACAAGTGTTTTGCCTCGCGTCCGTCCGATTATAAATAACTAATTTTTCGCCTCGTGAACACCGCGTGTTCCTAATTCCGTGAGTTTGATTTTTCTCTGGGTCTTCTCGTCATTCGACTTCATCCCTGGTGGACGTAAACGGTTTTTTATCGGCCCCATCGTTCCCCCCCCCTTTACACCCCTTTCTCCCAATGCAACTATTCCGACTTGCGTTTCCGTTTTCGCGCGAAAAACGATTAAATTTTTTTTCGTCCAACTTTCTCTACTGTTACATTTTTTACAATCCGTTTGTGTGAACCGGCTTAGCTGACGTGGGATGCACATATTATATTTTTCGAAGATTTAGTTATTTTTAACCGCTTGTCCTGAATATGATTATCATTTAAATACATAATATGTGTATATATATATTACAAGGCATATTCGTATATAGTTTTTATGCTACCATCGAATTTTTCCGACTATTTATTTCGTCATTTTGAATCGTCGAAAACATAATTCTCATGATGTAGCATCAAATATTTCATTTAAATTTAATCTATTATGATTGCTGATACTTAAATTAGGTTGATAATATTATATACCTACCACAGTTATAAAAGTTATATTAAAAGTTATAAAATAAATAATAACTATCATAAATCAGACAATGTTATCAATTTATCTTGCATGTCAATATGTCATTTTAAATAAAAAATTGGCTATTATTTATGTTTTGAATAACGATTAGATTATGAACTGAGTATTTATGTGATTTTTAACTACCTGATATAATGTATATCGTTTCTTATGCTACACATTTTCTAGTATATTTAAATATTTAATTGACAAAGACATTATTGTCATTAGACTGAGCAATTTACTCAATTTATAATTATTTAAATTATATGTTTGGTGTTCAGAGCATGAATGGTGTTTGTATTCAAATCCCTACAATTTTTTTAGATTTTAAATTAAGCGAGGAATATTTTTATATTTTAATATTTAAATTACTCCTGAGTTTAATAATAGTATAATATCTCTTAAAACTAGAAATAGGTAGACCAAACAATGCTGTCAAGTAGACAGTATATGAATAATATGCTTCGTTATGACTAAACATGATTTGAATTAATATAGAATTATGACAAAATTAAATGTATGTATTATATATAAATATAATTTTATTATTATATTTTTAAATTTGAAAACATAAGATAACTTGAACTATATTTTTATTGGAGTTTAAAAATCATAATACCTAAATTTTTAAAATTAGTCTTTATTTTCTTTTACAACTATTAAGTATGTATTTTATTTTGTTATGTGGAAATCATTAGGAATAGTATCTAATTTCATGTGTTTATGTTTAGTTCCAATGTTTAACAATTAAAAAAGATGTATTTCATGTGATATTTAAGTATTTTTATTGTGTTGAATGAAACAATCACTAAGTTGGTATACATCTATGCTTTTTTTCAAAATAGTTAACTATTAATATTGTTAATTAATTCATCATAGTTAAAATTGATATATCTATTGGTACATGACAAACACAACTGTCCTTTAATCAACTGATATATGTATATAGTATAGCGAAGACAGTAATACAGAGTTCAAAGTGCTTTCACATTTCCATGTCCCCCATTCAAAATGCCATGTTTCATTATCTTATATTTAATAAATATTTTATTAAAAAACAATCGGTATGATTATATTAAGGTTATATTTCTAAGATAAAGTGTGATTCATTAAAAAAAATTCATCTTTTTTATAGTTCTATTTATTTAAAAAATAATTAACTATAAAACATAAGGTCTATAAATATGAAATATTTTCATTAGTGACACAACATTATTGTAATATGTTTAAGTTCTTAATTAGTTATTATTTTTTATTGTTTCAGTTCAATATGGGAGAATGCTTTAGCTGTTTTAGTTCTTCTGATAGGGTTGAACCCTTATCACCCGATGCAAAGGTATGTATTTTATGATTAAAACCTTCAAAGTGTATATTATGTGTTATACACCTTGTACATATCTACTTATACTATGGTAAAATGTAAACTTTATTTCTATTCATAATATGGTTTATGTGAAAATATAAGCATATAGATTTTTTTTTTATTATATTAATCATAAATTGTAGAATTTGACAAAAATTTAAATTAATAGTTTTATTTTAAAATGATTTTGGTATGCAATGTACCATGATTTTTTTTTACAAACTTAATAGTTAATTTAAAATTAAAATTTAGCTATTCTGTTGTGTAAATTTCATTATTCTAGAATTATATGTGTGCACCAAGAGTGACTTAAAAATAGAATAATAAAATTAAATAATTTATTGGTAAGTATTGAAAACTTCTAATTTTTGATTATAATTTATATTGAGTAATGGTTTTTGACATTTTTTTAGTCAAACAAAACTTTTCATTGCGATTTATATTTTGGCAGTAAATTCTTGATCATGTCTTGATTAATTTTATATTACCATTACATTACTTTCATTTTTAACTAAATAATTATTTGACTATTTTAATATACACATAATTTGCGTTTTGAATTATTTGCTTAAAATTTGTTTTTATAATTTATTATATTATGTGGATATAAAACTAACAAATTTGAATAGGCCAATTTCAAAGGTCCTGTTAAAGGCAGATCTTGTACAGATACATCGTTTTTGGTTCTCTTTCTATTTGTACTATTATCTCTAGTAAGTATTTATTTTTCAGGTATTTAAAAATTAACATTTAAAATTTATAAAATTCTGATGATTTTTTTAGTTTGGATTAGTTGTATATTGCACTATGAATGGTAATGTAAATCGTCTTTTCTATGGTTTTGATCAATGTGGCGATGTTTGTGGATTTAAAAATGAAAAAAATCCGGATTCAAAATTTTGTGCTGGTAAAGATATGACAAATAAACCGTAAGTTAAATAATAATATAAGTTCATAAAAAATTTAAATTAATAAGTATCAATTTTTAGATTCTTAAAAATTGAGGCTCCTATTTATAAAGCAGCCGATTTAAAATATGTTAAACGAGAATGTGTGGAAAGTTGTTCTGATTTCAAGGATTAGTATGTATTATGTATTAATTATTTTTTCTAGATTATGTATGATATTTTAGTGATAAAATTATATTTATATTTTATGATTAAATATTAATGCTAGATTTATAACTTTAGCAAAGAATTTTTACATCGTTGTGTAAAAGAAGGCAATGAAACTGTAATAAACAATGTATTGAAAAATTCTAGTATTGGCAGTCTTTTTCAAGTAATTATGTTAAAATAATTAATATTAAATATGTTGTACTTAAATTTATTTTAAAATTTTCAATTATCTTCAATAGTTATAAATTAATTATTATAAATAAAAAATATTTTTTATAGGAAATTACTCAAGATTTACAACACACCAAATGGGATATAATATATCTTTGCATATTTGCTTTTAGTAAGATATTTTACATTTTTATACATATTTATGCTTTATTTTAAAAATAATTTAACATTTTTGATGAAAAAATATTAAAAATTGTGAATGATATTTAATGTTGGTGAATGACAAAATATTTAATTATAATCTTGTATATTATAAATATAATAAAATTAAAATATCCATTTATTGTGGATTTTTACATTATATATACAAAGTTTATTTTTAATTTTTTTGTATTGTTAAATTTTTTCATAAGTCTTCAGGTTAAGAAACTATATCTACATTGAATATATTTTATTATTTTATATCCAAATGTGAAACTAGATTTTATCTAAAATGTAATTGTTTGATTTGTATATAACAAAATGTTCAGGAAATAATTATCTTATATGATAAATATTTAAAAACCTTAAGCTAATTTTATTTTTATACTCTTAGTAGAATCAGCCTATTCAATTGTAATTACAGACTTCTATAGTTTAAAGAAGAAAGAAAAATTAAAATTTTATAATATTTATTTTTTTATGTTGAGAAATAATTTTTGGTTCATAGTTAGATATGGATTTTCCATTATTTATATTTATTTTATTAATTATTATGATATTGAGATATATATTTTTGTAAATGCTCTTAATTTATAATATGTTTATAAATTCATATTATATATTTTAATTATTACTTTCAGTTACGTCACTTGTCATTGTTTTTTTGATAAGATTTGTAGCAGCTTTTGTGGTTTGGTTTGTACTTATTGGTGTTGTTTTGGTCAGTTTTTCAGCATCTATTTTCTTATGGTAATATTTGTATATTAATCAATTAAAAACACTTAATAAAATTATTATAATGGATTTAACTTGGCCATGTTATTGTTTAGGTATACTTGGAAACAAAAGTCAAATCTTGAAATTAAAGATCAAGTTGAACAAACGGATGTAAATACGTATTTTGCATTTGCATTGATTGCCACAATATCCACAGTATGTAAATTATTTGGTTAAAAGTTTTTTTTTTGTTTTTAGTTAAAATATTTTTTTATTCTAGGTAATTATTTTGTTAATTATCGTGGCTATGAGAAGTCGTATTGCCCTTGTCGTTCAATTATTTAAAGAATCTGGTAAAGCTATACAAAGTATGCCAATGTTACTTATACAACCGATGGTGGTAAGTTAACATTTCAATAAATACTTATTTTGTGATTCATATTGATGAAACTAGTGTTTTGTATTTTATTTTTTTTCAGACATTTTTCTTCCTTTGCTTAGCTATTATTATTTGGAGTTATTTTGCTGTACTCATTCAATCATCTGGAACTCTTGCACTTGTTCCTAATAGCCACAATGCCTACTATAAAAAAGATCAGTTGATGAAGTTTGCTAGAGTTTATAATATTTTGGTTTTATTATGGGTTATTGAATTTATTATTGGATGTCAGCATATGATAATAGCTGGTTCGGTTGCTACATGGTTTTTTTCCAGAAACAAAGACAATGTGTCATCACCGATTTCAACATCTGTTGGTTATTTATTTAACTACCATTTAGGTTCTGTAGCATTGGGATCGTTTATCATAACAATTTTCCAAATTATAAATGCTATTTTAAATTACATTGATGAAACATTAAAGGACTCTGAAAATGAAGTAGCACGTGCATTTTACAAAGCATTTAAATGTTTGTTCCAATGTCTACAGCAGTTTTTACAATATTTGACAAGGAATGCTTACATTGAAATTGGTATGAAATATTAATTTTTTTTACTTGATATTGTTTTGATTATATAATCAATAAATAAAATTAAAAAATGTTAATTAAAACTCTTAATCAAATGTACATTATTTGGCACTTGTGAAGGTTATGTTAAAAATTTTCAAAGATAATATATAGCAGCGATTCTTAACCTTTTGTAGATCATGGATCCCTAATGAAAGATTTTTAAAAATTGCGGACCCTCTTACCAAATTTTTTTTTACAAAATAACTTGTGCTATTGAAACTAAAATTATAATTATTTTATTTAATACATTTTATTAGTATACATAACAAGACATACATATTTATATTTATTTTATTACACTTAATTTTTCAGTTAATTTAAATTTAATTATTTGAGTTTTAATTTTTTATTTTATATTCTTAAAATTTAATTTTTATTTACTTAATGCGATGGTTGAGGTTATACTTGAAACACAAGTTTTTGAACAATATATAAAGATAAGATCTATCTATTTTATAGTAAAAAATATATGAAAAAATCAAGTAAAATAATATTCTAACAATATTGTAATAATGCACTCATGTTTCATATTGACGTATGTTATGTTATGGCTACCAGGGACCCCTAGAGGGCAGCGGACCACAGGTTAAGAACTGCTGATATATAGAATAAAAATAAATACTGGTAAATTTAAAAATATATTTTCAATAATTTTGTCATTACAGCTAATCATATTTTTAAATGAATTTGTGTTACAAACAAGATGTAAGCTTATAGTTTTTGATTTAATTTATAAATTTCTTGGTCATTTGTATCATACACCAATTTATGTTGAGGTCTTAAAGAGAGATAATTTGTTTTTCTATTATAATTATATTAATCAACTATGGTATTTGACATATGGCATGAGTCAAATGAGATAGAGGCCTACTTATAATTTTTAATATGTACTGTTATTTTTTGTTTACACAAATATAGTAAATCATAAATTTAGTTTTAATAAATTTAATTGTTATTGACACTTTATTAAAATTGCAAATAAAAATTATAATATTCCTAAAAAGCTTTGTAAATGCTGAATATTCCTCAGTATGTTTTAGTGTGAGTGTATGTTTAAAATAGAAAAAAATCTTGATTTCTTGAATTTTAAAAATATCTATAATTTACTTCTAGCTATTTATGGAGACAACTTCTGTAGATCAGGACAACAAGCATTCAAAATGATTACTTCAAATGTCCTTCGTGTTGCTGCCATTAATTCTGTTGGAGATTTTGTGCTGTTCTTAGGAAAAGTATTAGTAGTTACATCAACTGTATTACTTGGTTTTAAAATGCTTGAGGTATATTTAATAAATTAACATTAAAAAATTGTTGATAGATTAATGATAATGTTGTTTTAATGTTAAATTAACATTTTAATCAAAACTTTAACAACAAATATAAATTAAAATTTAACATTTTTTTTTTTTTTTATGATTTATGATTAAATTGTCATTGTTCTTAAAAATTGGCTTTTTTTTGTTTAAATTACTTATATTTAAATTTGTTACAGACTAAACCTGGAGTTCTTCATTTGTGGGTTCCATTATCTATTGCTGGCCTTTTCGCATATTTTGTTGCTCATTGTTTTATTTCTGTGTATGAGGTGGGTTATATTAATATTTTTCTTTATCATTACACCAATACTAAATAATCCCGACAACATTTCTAGATGGTGATTGACACAATATTTATGTGTTTCTGTGAAGATTGCAATTTAAATGATGGTGTCACTCAAGAATACTACATGAGTAAAGAACTAATGGTAAGTAAAAATTATTAAAACTTCTAAACATTTTATATCATATACTTATAAATTGTACCTTGATTTGAAAAAGGAATTTGTTGAGAGCAGTCAAAAAGTGTTAAGAGTTGGTGATGGAGCTACAAATTAATTTCATTATATAAAGAATCTATTATTGCATTATTCATTACACAACAAAGAAATGTACAATATTTTTTTTTTTTGGTTAAATGTCTATTAAGTTATTGACTATTTTATATTATATTTATTGCCATTATTAAGTATGATTTAATTTTATATTTATTCTATTGTAATTAAAGGACCAATATGTTGGCAAAGAAATAATAAAGCTATATATTTTTATTTTAACATTCTGTATTATAATTTATCTATATCTGTTTTGAATGGACTTATTTTTATAACTATGTCATAGAAATAATTTTATATAATATATGATAATTAATAAAAGTTTAATACATAGAAAATATCCAACTCAAATTCATTGTTTTGGGCTACTTGGTAATATTTTATTATATTATCCTTTAAAGATAATTCATTATAAATATTGTAAAATTTCATTATAGTGATAGACTCTATGAAAAAATTCTTATAATATATGTATGCTTAATTATACTATTATCTAACGTCCTATTAATCTATATTTTAATAACTTTTATACCTGTTTAATATTACCAAAGAAAAATATGTTGTTTAATTTAGTTTATGACAGATATTTGACTAAGACATTTTTTATGATTTGAAATGAATAAGTCATCTATCAGTATTTGAAGTAATTAAAAAAAAAAAATGCCAAGAATTATATTTATTATTATATTCTATTTAAACCTGAATTGTGAATTCCTTAATTTTCAAACGTTCTATGTAATCGGAACACTTTGTTAACATTTATCCATTGTATTATAATATGCTTTTTATTATGAAATTTATTTTTATATCTATTTTTTTTATATTTACATAATGTATAGAATAAGAATTATATTATTTCATACTATATATTCTTTAAGTTGAAGTAAAGTCAATAAATACTCAATAATTAATTGGTTGTATATTGGCTTATAATTTTGTCCTGCCAATGACTTCGTTATCTTATGTTTGTAACTGAAAACTATTTTAAATGACCATCTGCAAATGCTTAATTAATTAACTATAATATTAAATTATACTAACAAACCAAAATAAATATTTTAATTTTATATGTATATAAAAAATAACAAGTTATAGTTATCACCAAGGCTTGGAAGTTGTAGCACTAAAAATGTTACTTTTTAGCTCTTAAAAACTCTAAAATATGCGCTAGGAATAGCAAGAAAAATCAAAAATATGCATTTAACTTGAAAAAATTATAAATTTATTAGAAAAAAAATAAAATGTAATTACACAAATTGTTGAGCTCATAGATACAGTCTGGACTGATTAAATTATAAACTGTTAACAATAATGATAAATTACTTAAATATATTTGTAAATATGTACTTATTGAATTATTTAATATATTTACGTTGGAAATTATCCCCGATTATAAAAGTGTTTGATAATCTAATACAGTGGCGGCTCGTGCTATGAGACACACGGGCACGTGCTCCACCTATAAAATTGAAAGGAAGAAGAAAAATGTATTTAAAATAGAATAGCTATTGATATTTCTTTTAACCATCATAATATAGTTGGTTAGGTACGGTCATTAGGCAGCGAGCACAAATTCGTTGTGCCCCGATGGCCTGATCAACAGTGATAGATTTCCCCTAGTTTTTGATAAGAATTAATTCTATCTACATATTATTACTGACATAAAACATAGATAAATCATTATAATTTATAAGTAGGTATTTAAATATAAAAAAAAAATACAAAAGTATTAAGTAGCATACCCGTATACAGGTAGTGGCGTATTTGAGAGGGGCGATGGGGGTAATTGCCCCCCCCCCCCCCCCCCCCCCCCCCCCCCC